TAAAAAATTACTCTTCAGTAAGATACGAATGAGAACCAAGTAAAATATTTCAGATCCACCCAGATCTATTGAAGGAGCTAAGATTGCAATTATTTGCAATTGCATGGGAAAAGAATTGTGCCGGAGTGTTGTGTATGTAGTCTATTCACTGATTGAAGGGGCTCATCTTATTGAACTTTATTGCAATCAAATTGAAATAAGTTGCAATATTTTCATTACTTCTAATTCACTACCACTCTCTCACATGGAACCCATTTTACTGAGCATTTGAAATCGGCATTTATTGATTGCACGACGTAAGAATATTGCAATTTCATGGTGAAAAATTGCAATTTTATTGTATTAAATATCAGGATTATTTCAGTATTTCTGTTGCACTGTGCCACTGTGCAGGACTATAAGCAGATGTGCAAGGAGACTCATTCTGATCTGCCGGCAAAAGCAAGAATTTTTTTGCAAAATTTACTGGGTCAAACTACGTTTCTCCAATAAAATCCGATGTCGTAGTAATTCAAACTAAAAGCATAATAATATTTTATTTAAGAACGCGGATTTTGAGGCATGGCAATTTGGTCTTTCTCAGTGAAGACAATGATTACAATAACTAGAACTGAGGGACTTGTAGGACAAGGCGCATAAGTGCAGTTTTTGAAAAAGTTGAGATATTAATGATTTGAAGTAAAACTAGTCTTAACGCACATTCTGTGAAAAATTCACTTCCAAATCCCAAGTTTTAAGTAACGAAAAGTCAGTTTGAACTTTCTTTCCACCATAAGGATCCATGTAATTTCGTAACTTCAGCCACTTATTTCTCGAAATAGCAAAAACTGCACTTATGCGCCTTGTCCTCCAAGCCCCTCAATTGCATGATTTGATTTTGATGGGATGCAACGCAACGGTCTGGCCAGTGACATTCATGCGCTATCAAAGTTATTTGAAACAAAGTAGCACAATTCAGATGAAAATCTAAGGAAAAACGTCTTCACTTCTTTTTTTTAAAAAATTCATGATCTAATGCATATGAATCTTACGTGTCTTTCAAAAGTTTGCGCGTTTTTTAAGTTACCTTCACAACCTCTTGAGGTGGAGCGCAATTATTTTGCCGCGCAGTAAAATATTTTCAAGTGCCTGATTTGCAAGATATCATTGGTCGTCGAGCATACCGATTGACGATTTTTTTCTTCTTCTTTTCCCTTATTAATATTATTTTTCATGCCGTTTAGAATTATACATGAGTCCTCTCATATAGATTCGTTAAAAAGCAACGGAAATGGATGACGAAAAATTATTCTGCAAGTAGGTACACGTAAGCAAAATGGTCGTTGATTTGGCGAGTCACAACCTTAATCATATAAAATTTAGAAAGCGGAGGAGAACTGGCTAATCCATGCTGATCTACTTAAATTAGAAAAAAAACAACTTAATATAACCACAATCCCTATTGCAATCCCTGTTGCAATTTCATGAGTCGATTGAAAGTGCACCTATCATATAGAGGTCACATTTTGATGTCGGCAAACATCATAGACTTGAATGTTGTGGCATTCAAATCTCTGCAGAACTCATAGTTTCTTGAAAGTTCGGAAGAGGATTTTGAAATAATCTTGTGAAATTAGTGTTGTTTTTTCTCAAATATTTACAAAAAATCACGTGTGTGCTAACATCGCAAATCCTCTCTAAAAACTGCAAATCGGTAATGCATTCGTCAAAATTAAACAATACGATGTGTATCATAAAATTAAAAAAGAACTCAAAGCGAGAACATCGAATGGAGTTTCTAATCGCCTCAAATACGTGAAAATAAAGTTTAGCGATTTGTTCAATTTCACCAACAATTTGAGGATAATGTAACATTTAAAAGGGAAAGCCTGGCTGCTCATGTCAGTGAGAGGTTGAAATGAACGGGGAAAAGATTTACTTAATCAAAAACGATATCAAAGTTGCAACGGAAGTATATAATTGACTCTTTATAAATAAAATCATTCAAAGTTAGGTTCTTATGCTTCATGACAGTTATCATTCATTTCTGTCATGTATGATTGATTAAGCCACCCGCATAATTTTAACGACTTCTTGAGTAGAAATGAGTAAAATCGAGGCTCATTTAAAACGAAATAATTGATCAGTAGCACTAGTTTTAACATTTGATTACTATAAAATATGGATCGGTGAAAACTAATTCGATCCGCCAAGGTATCAAGTCTCTGCGTTCAGTAATGACCAAAAAATTTTCATTGGAAATATGTATGATTGACGTCATCCGTGGTGGATAGTATGCATGACATGGTTCCTTCCACCTCAGTCTCATAAATGATGAACGTAAAGCATTTTATATTTATGAAATCGTTCATTAGTAACACCATTTTGAAATATGATTGTGGAGAAAAGAGTAGCCAAGGTGTTATATGTGTATTCGCTTATTTATTTATTTAATAAAATATACGCTAAAGCTTTTCTGCTTGCGGCCATCATCAGAGCTTAGGTTAGAAAGGTCAAAAAAACACATAACAAAAACACTTAAAAAACATTTCGCCGGTCACAATTATAAATGCTGAATTACTGCAGTTATGCGAATATCGGCTCAAAGCTTAATATTCAATCTACATACTGTTCAAATATATCGACGGTATGAAATTTCTAAACCACGTATCTCATTTCCGATATTTGAAAATAGCCGCTCCCATTTTAAGTTTTTACAGGTGAACGAAGCAGCATCATTTCTTGAAGTTTTCACAAATTTTTGCTTGATTTTAAAGAAAAATCATGGCATTTCTCAAAAGTAGCCGTTGAAGAAATTTCCATTTGAAAAATAAAAATGACAGGAAGTCTACAACATCGCAAACCGGGATACGTGCTTTGAGAAATTCACCGTCGATATACACCATTAATTGATAACTCTGCGGAGAGAGAAACCATGATATGAACCACCAACGACGACGACATCAATGAATGTATTACGTGAACCACCATACTCTGATTGGACTACATTTTGCAATTAGGAACTATAAATCCCGGCCTGGTTTAAAAACAACGTATGCGCCATTAGTTTCCCTATGCACGTACGTGTTTTTCCAGATGAGACAGAATTTATAGCTCCAAATAGCAAAATGCAGTCCAATTATATCCAGCGTAAATATTTCGCGGGTGGGTGGATCCGTATTTATTTTACCAATTTGTAAGTTTCGACTATCATCACATCGATGGCTGAATACGAAATCTGCGTATCTCAATAAGTTAGTTGCGCTGATCACAAAATCGTGTTTTGATGCTTAATTATTGTAGATTAGCTAAAAATAATAAGATCTGTCCAAACAGCAACTTTCTACGTTCAATATTAACCGAGATATCATCCCTTTGTAATCCGAGGTTTTGACGTCATCCACCGCGGTAGTGACACCCTTAGTTTCTCCCACCTTGTTTTCATCGGTCGGTCGGGTCGGTGTAACGTACATTTGTATTGGTTGTTTAACGTGAAACTTGGATTAAAACAAAGACAGAAGACACCATGGGTGTTATTGCGTACCAAAGGGCACGCAATGAGGGGTGGGTGTCAAAGGGCGGTGGATGACGTCAAAAAACCGACTTTTCAAAGGGCGATATCTCGGCTAATATTAAACGTAAAAATTTGCTGTTTAGACAGATCTTATTATTTTTAGCTGATCTACAGGAATCAAGCATCAAAACACGATTCTGTGACCAGCGCAACTGGCTTATTGCAACATTTAAAAATCTTCGGTTATCCATTGTCTTCTTCATGGGAAATTAATCAGAAGTTTCCCTTGCGGTTTCATGTGATTTTTCATGTTGAATGAAAAAAAAATCATAGAAATTTTCAATAGGAACTGTTGCTTAGTTTTTCTTTAAATAATTAAACACGGGCGGAGGCAGAATTTCAAATACGCATACTTCGACTGTAATAATCAATATTAGTCTAAACTGATTACAACAGTTTCATATAAAATCACCTGGTAATGAAAATGTGGGGATCGAGGGCATATTGTGATGATGTGAAAATTGGCGTAAAATTTATAACCACATTCAGTCTTATACGGGAAAATAAAAAACCAAAATGAAAAGAAATACCGCCCGCATGGATGTCTATCTCTTGCGGGGAAAGGAAGAAGAAGACGGAAAATTCAAAAAAAAAGAGGCTGCAAAAATCAAAGGTTAAATGATAAGTCGCAGGTGATTGGTCAAATCAGGCATTTTATCAAATGGTTAGGCAGATAGCCAAAGATCAGTTCACGAATTGTTGCAAATTCATGGCCAAGAGCTCACGAGTTTTCACCGTTTTGTGAAAAATAACTCATTAAATCTACAAATTTCACTTGCTCCTTCCTCTTCAAAAGCTTCCCATATATTTAAAAATTAAAACTATAGGAATGTTGTGTTCTATGATATGCTGAAAAGTTCAACAAAAATGTTTGTTCAGGAGCTAAAAATCGTTTAATATTATTTCATGCCATGCAAATTTTTACAGAAGATTCTTCTTCTATGAGCGATGAATTTTGTCCAAAATTAAGATGAGTATTAGAATTTCAATCCACGTGTAAATATTTGACCATTTGCCTAAGCATTTGACCAAATTCCTGATTTTACTATTTGCATGCGACATATAGATTGCCATTAAGTCATCGCTAATGAAATTATTTTTCTCGATGATTAAAAAAAAAAAAAAAAAATTGACTTGTTACTCACAATTATTCCTTATGAATTATCATTTTCCAGCATTTAATCGATTATTTACTCGTAAAGTTTCATTCGTTATGGATTATCAATTAGTTCCAGAATAAATGCCTAACGCTGGATTAAATTAGCGCCAATAAGAAGCTGCCATACAAGAGTGATATCGCGTCTGTTAACCCAGTAAAAAAGTGCAGGACCACGTGGTCGGCGCCGAAGAATTACGTGAAAAGGTTAATCTTCGGATAAACTGCGCAAATAGAATCAAATTCATTGGAGATTTGAACCGAGGTGGGAGGTGGGAGATAGGTAAATACAACAGTTGATCGGATCGGCGAAAGAAGAAAGTGATCATCTCTGCTACCGATCATATCGGACTCAGTCGATAAGTGGACGTGCTTACTCATTACGCATTTAATTTTGATCCGTGCTGGTGATTTACTGTACAACACTCTAAATTTTGAACAAAATTTCAACTCTGGTTGACATTAGAACTTAGGCTTTTGCCTTCTAACAAAGGTACGTGATCATTGTAAAGCAACTTGCATCTCCCCTAAATGAAGGGTCCAACGCGTGAACATGTCAAACGATAATTTAGGGATAAAGGTGATACTGCTTTTTTTAATTACAGAGCCTGTCTAAGTAAGTCAATCACATTAAAAAAATTATGAATATAAGTTAATTTATGGTCGCAACAACACCGCTTAGCACTCTTTTCTGGCCATGCGGCCCAATGCTATTTTTTGATAGATTTGTTTTTTCATATCACAAAAATGTCACATCACATGTTCATACTTTTGACCCTTTGAATAAAAAGGAGACATTTTTTCTTTCCTTATAATTGCTCTAAGGATTAGTTTTGCCCCAAAAAATGCAAAGACCAATTTTTTTTTTTTTTTTTTTTAATCAAGTATGTAGTGTAAAAGTGTGTGATTCTTTACTCTCATACTGTCATCACTCCAAAAAATGTGTCGTGTCGATCTCCCGTGATTTTTTTATTCAATCTAGATAACTGATGTTATACCTGAAGTTTCCAATCGTGTGTCCAAAAACTCGTTTCAGCGATAAACAACAAACATTGCTTCCATAAGTAAGGTGATGTTACCATCTGGAAAAATTATCCTTGTAGTTTTAATAAGTTGTTGTAATGTTCTAAATACGTATGTTTACTGGCAATTTCCGTTTTCTTGATGATCTCGACGTGATTTTAATCTCTTGTTACGTTACGTTAGTGATAAATTGATCGGACCAAGAATGGATTATTTGCGTCCAAAAATGTTGTAACCAATCTCGCAAAATCAAACTCTGACAAGATATGAACGTATCTTTGCGCTTTTTCAAAGGTATAACATCTTCATAGGCGCTAGATTTTTATTTCTGTAAAAAGGATAATTTTTCATAGTTCAGGATCTCATTCAAATTGTCACGCTTAAATTGTTTATTCGTATCATTCCTTCCAAAAAAATTTTGATATTCAATGTTTTCCAAACTAGCTTCTAAAAAGCAAATGAAATCTTCCTTTGACTGATGAATCAAATCACAAGATTAGATTCATGTCTCGGGAAAGGGTGGATATGCCTCTGGCAATGTCTTCCCCTCAAATTCATGGAGTGCCAAAATTTATATCATTGCCCTCTATGGTTGTCTCCGGTAGGTTTTTAAGTTATCATTTCTAAAATCCCTATCATTATAAAAAACCTCCTTTAGAGAGTATATCACTTTGGAACCCTCAGGAACAGCGCGCGGGGTATTTCAGACATCGTGACCCTTTTACTATTTAAATGTTTTAAGAATCGCAAGCTTATCGAAAAGCTCATCAAACAAAGATTGATGAGTAAAAACTTGCGCACCAACCTGAATATAAACAGACCGTAATCAACTATCAAGGTATCGAAGGCATTTTACCTTTCTCGGCTTTGATGATTAGCAAAAAAAATGATGAAGTGCGACTTAAAATCATCTTGGCCATGTATATCCAAAAAAATAAATCTCAAAAACTTTAAATTAATGTATCCCATCTGGAAAATGTATTCAAAAACCTTGCAAAAATCACCATGACTCAACTCATCTAACGCGTTATTACGAAATCAAATATTTTTGACTTGAAAGAGAATTATTTTAAGGGCACGACAATGTGCTTTTACGTTTTCGGAATACGTTTTTTCGGGGGAAACAGCAAACTCGTGATTTTATACGAAATGTTCCTTTTGGCTCCCCATTAAAAATGAAACCTATGTATTCTCACAAATCTATGAATAAATAGTTACTTACTTTGAGTATAGATTCATCTTAATGTAAGCCCACGTTCTTTCTCTCTTAGCAATAGCATTCCAAATCAAACGCATATTGAAGCAGAGTTGATCAATTACTACTAGGCTCTGAATCAAATGAAAATATATTACTTAACGGTCGGAATTGGAACAGATCGCTTGTAAAATGGTGTCTCAACCTCCCGGAAGAACTATTGTTTTGATCATAGCGAGACTTGGAAATTCATTTTTAAAAAAAGAATCTTGAATTCCCCGTTTCTTTGGTTTTCCTATAATGTATGACATCAAATCACATGGCCTTCAAAACTTTTTAGAATTAATATGAGAATAAAGTACAGTTGAAGTCACTCATAGGAATCCAGCTTTACTAATCTGTTATTTCTACTATTATTTTACATAAGCGAGAACGAGTAGTATCTTCTTCAAAAGCGAATGCGGCATTAGCTTCCAAGCTTTCTCTAAGATAAAAATTCCCATGAATCTGACTTTGACTGACCCAACCAGCACGTTTTTCGTACACGTTTATATGAGATTACCTGTTTAAATTGCTGCTATCAACAATTATTTTTAAAAAAGCAGCTATCGAGGTAAGCGGATGTAGATATGAAGCTCACAACTTAAGAAATCAAAACCCAGGTCACCGTAGGTCAAGAAATGACCAGATTAAAGGGTTTTTTACGCGTATTTCCTCACAATAACGTCAGAGATACACTTTCCGATTTTAATTGTTCTCGATGAATAAGTCTACGCGAGAAGTGCTTCCATGATCAGAGGACCATTCAGTTCATTCAAAACACATCTGGTGAAAAATATGTAATATATGTTTTGCAAAAATTATAATGTTTTTATTATGTTTGCTTTAATGATTCTACTACAATCAATTCATCACCGCTTATTATTGTATGAGAAACACGTCAATTTTAAAATAGGAATCTGTTTCGCGTGTCAAAAAATGATTAAGAAATGTAAGGGTTGGGTAAAAATGGAGAACGAGAACTCCTTAAGCACGGTAACAAGCGTAACGGAATTTGCTTTGCAGGAAACAAAACTTCATATTTTGCCACCATCCGAATCCAATATTCAAATTAAACAGAGAAAATGAATACGGTGGCATTTTGAAAAAATTGCCGGCATCAAAACGAACAGATATTTTTCTACTGAATGCATACTTTAACGTGTTTTATACACAATATACAATATCACGATGTCAATAGAAAAGTGCGAATAGTGGGATAAGGTCACGTATACATAACGCGTGCGCGTAACCCCTTGCATTATGAGCGAAGAGAGGGAGGAAAGCGCCACGAACTTAATCACTTCCGAATTGCATCGACTGGCTTGTCGTTGATTTATTTATAGACTCTCTCAGAAAACTGATCGTACACGAATAAAATCAGCGCGTGCAACACTCATCATTAAGCTCAATCATTGGGTGAACGACTCCACAGAGATAAACAGAGACTTGCCACTACCCTCTCGATGGCAGGGGACACTGGAACACTTTCAGCTCATGCTTAGGGCTCTACCATGCACCACTTGGAATCACCCTCTTTTTGGCTGTTGAGCGACATAATGAGCAATTTTTTTTTAACAAACGAAGATATGTTAGATCAACTTGTTACGTGCGCACTGCTCTAAGCATAGCTCAATATAGCTAACAAAAAAAATGCGTTGAATCTATGGATATTTCAAAGTCTACCATTGCCAAGGAGCCAGTATATTACTGGAAGATCCCTGGTTATTTTTGAGTATACCATTTCAACCAAAACTTTCACAAGATTAAAATCACTACTTATGATAACAAAGAAAGAGCGACCCATGAAGGAGGTCTACGTCTCGTAATCTTCAACCCTCTTTTGGCGACACTTTTGCGTCCATGGTCTTAAAGCTAAGCATGAATTCCACTTGTAACCTACTATAAAAGAATGGAAAGTCCTTGGAAATTTCCGAAAGTCCCAAAAACCCAATTACAGTTGAATTTTAATATCAGTATGAAAATCAAGTATGCCTGTATTCAGAGTCGTTAAAGAAAAAAATATGTATACAATTTGGAACGACAACAACATGCGTGACGTCATGTGCAATCAAACTATCAGTGTTTCCCCGCTTTCCCCGCTCTTTTTAACTGACCGTTCTTTGACGCAATAAACTCCAAATCCAAAGATGCGCTGTTTTCATTGTAACAGCACGGAGCAAACACCGTTATCGAATAGAGTCGGCAAATACAGGAAAAATATTATCGATGACAAAAATACGCCACCGATGAGAAAAAAAATGAATGAGATGAGGCTGTGCGCGCGATGCTTGAAGTGTGCTCTGCGAGTAGCTCCATTCATTGATAACGATTCCAAACCATGACCCTTGTTTTTGGGGTGAATCGATAGCTGCGTTGAAATAAAGAAGGTAAATATAAACAGTGGTCGAGGAGAAATGGGTGAATGAAAGGTGCGTGCTTGGCAGATAAAAATTTCATGAAATGAGGTGAAATCGATCGAAAGTCTCACCGCTTTAAAATATTTAGTTTTTGAGAGTGCCATATGAAGAAATGGGACAGAAGCTGCAGTTGCTCTCCATGAACATGAAAATTTTTTTAAAAAAATTAAAAACTTCATTCAAGGCACATTTATGAAGTAGCCGTACAATAGCGTTGACTCTTTCGTCAAGAGAAAGTCACTTCTTGATAGGATCAAACAATCGAACATAAATTGTTCATATTTGAACCGCTTGAATGAAAATTTAAAGTTAATGATTGATACTAGGTGTGGTATTCGTTCCGCTGCATTTGCTGCAATTGTGAACAAACGCGCGGCAAGACGCGTGTGCATTATCCAAATTATCTTGATATTATAACCAGTCAATTTGCAAAACCGTGCGTTGGGAGTGAGTAAAAACGCGGGTGTGTATACCCCCACCGCCCACCTCAGACATTGAAAAATGCAATAGTGTATTTCCTTCGGAAAATACACTAAAAATGGTCGATGACTCATCGCGGCCGTGCAACAACCTAGCTGATGCTACCAATTTGTATTTTTAAAATTTGCACTAATTTTTATCAAATATTACTCATATTGATGGCCAAGCTCGGATACCTCGCAATTCGATTGCAGCGGCGTTTCAAAATCCTTTAAACTCCGAGTCATTTTGCCGAAAGAGAGAGTCACCTCTTTATCTCAAATTGTCACGAAAGTTTTCGAGATATTGCCTCGATTAATTTTCAAGTTAAAATTTAAATTATGACAGGAAGTTTACGGCGTCGTAGAGCCAGATATCTACTTGATTTCCAATTTCAGTCATTGATGTACACCTACCCGAATTTAAATCAACATGTGTGAGAGACCCATGCACTTTTTAGTATGAAAATTATTGCTGCACGTTGGACGATCTGAAGTAGACCTTGCAAAATGAAAGTGTACTGCTGTTACTTCAGTTGTTGCAAGTACATCTCAAATTATGTTTAATCTTACGAGTTTAGAGCAACTCCAGAGGGTCAAGGAGTCACCGAATCGCGCTTTCACGGTTGAAATTTTCAGATTAGCAAAACGACAATGCAATTTATCGTAACGCCAACATGAATAGACCCATCACCTTGAGAAAACAAAGTGAGTGGCGTCATCTACCATGGTCATACATATTTTTTGATTTGATGAACTCAAAAACCCAAAACCATGATATGCACAGCCGCGGTGAAAGACTTGAATATCTATCTTTTTTCGAAGGATGATATGCTTACGTTCGTGTTTGTCGTAGAGACGTGGGCGTTTTGGCACTTTTAATAATTATTTCCTTTTTTCTCTTATAAATTTGACTCAACCATCAAGACACGATTTCACGCCTGGCACAACTGAGCGCACCTACCCAGAGAAAGCACTGCCATCTGTATAACCTCATTGCCCAAAAAAACTCTGAATTATTTCACTATTCGGTAATTTTGGGGTTGGGTTATGGAGCTTTTAGGGCTCAGAAACGCAGCCAATCTATGAATTCAAATTATCCAAAGTAAGTCATTACCTATTACAACTGCTGCGACCTGGGGCCGAATTTTTTCGGCTCTTTCACACGGAGTGCAACATCCATCGATGAGTCCAAACCGCACCACCGGCCAATCAGAAGCGCCAAGCCGGACTTAAGTGCAGTCGAGACCCGTCCTTAGTATATTTCAATACGGTAGAGAGACCGACAAAATTCGGCCCCTGGCATTTGTGAGGCACGTATTTTATTTTGATTTTGCATAAATTCAAGAATTTTCGTGGATTTTGGCTCATTTATAAACGTCTTTGGCCATCTTGGTTTGATATCGGAATCTGAAGATTAAGAATGACATTTTTAGTGTTAGAAATTTGGCAGCCTTTTTGGGCCCCGAAAGCTCCATCTTTCGACAGGTCCATAACCTCCCTATACACTGAAAAAAAAAACTTTCACGCTATTTAGACATACCGTCCGTGTCGGGCGCAGAGGCCGAAAGTTCCGGGTGCTGAAACCGTAGCTTCGATTGCTCCGGGTGCTACGCCCGGAACTTTCGGTCTCTGAGCCCGGAACTTTCGGCCTCTGAGCCCGGAACGCGGAGGGTATGACTATATAGCTTCCACGGCTGGAGTTTTTTTCAGTGTAGATACTCTAATGCAGTCCAATTGAGACTCTGGCGGCCGGCCGGCCGGCGCGAAGTTATCAGGGAAGACGTAAGGCACTTGCAAAATGACGGGTGCGCATAATTCTAACACGATTATCCGTTGTCTGACAGGTTGCGGTTTTGCGCGGGCGCGGAAGACAGAGAGCAGGCCAGGATCCCAGACGGCGGCGGCGACCAAGTGCGATCATGATCAGCCCGAGCGAGGAGTCGCGGACCTTCGGAACGAATCCTCTGCGAGCGGCCGTCGATGCAGAACCGGAAACCCGGCAGACGCCAGAGATCAACAACAATGACAAGAAAATTGGGCACAGTTGCTTCATGGAAAAGTACTACCGGAGCAAGGAGGAGGGCACCCAGTGTGAGGAGTGCCAACACCACAACGCTCCCCAGGACGCGGCCCTCCTCAGACCCGTCGGCAAGTTCATCGAGGAGGACTACGCCCAGCTTTTCAGGGATCGGCTCATCATAGACGAACAGAACGAGCCCAGGCTCAAGTACGGTATCAACACGCTCTACGACTTGATGAGCGAACTCAGGAGGGCCTTCGAAACGGAGCACGTCAACATCCAGTACGTCAGCGCCATCATGGCTGCCTACAAGAGCAACCCCAGGGAGTGGGAGAGATTCGCCAAATTCGACAAGTACAGGTGGGCATTTTCAACACATTTTCTCCTCTTAAGATGCCCTTTGCTGGGGTAACCTAGAGCCCCTTTATACTCAGAGTAAAGACGATGCGAATCCATTTTGGATTGGTTCCCGTACTTTAGGCCTTCACAGTGTCACAAACAGGAATAAAGAATACATTTTCACCAATTGCAAAGATTATAAACTGGGATAGACCGGGGAATCAGGGTCATGGCAAGGAACAAGCGGGACGAGAGAGGGAACGGAGACAGTAATTTGGGAATGAGTTGATCAAAGATTACGAAAAACGTTCAATTTGTGTAATCTTTATTCCTGTTTGTGACATCCATAAGCCGCGTTGTTTTGATAACTCTCTTCATAAAGGGACTCTGGGGTAACCTAGAATAAAAGCGGGCACTCACATTCCCGTCTTACGCAAAGGAGGGATCGACTATATTCACGGATCGCCGCACGGTGGATCGAGTCAATAGGAGAGGTCGGACAAAATTTGGAAACTTTAAAAGCTTATGACTCCGTTCATACAAAACTTTGAGGCTCTAAAAGCTGTTTCCATTGGTTTTCTCGTGAAATTTTCTTCCGTGCACATCCCTCGAACTTTAAAATGTGACAAAATAAGCATCAAAATTTGCAGTTTTAGTAAAAAATGTCATGTCCTACCTCTTTAATTGACTCGATCCACTGTGCGCCGTATAAAAAAGCATTGGAGCTGAATTGTTCATTTTCTTATTGGTCGCACGATTTGAAGCGCGTAGAAATACGTCCGGCATAAGCGAGGCATTGGAGGGATTTCTGACGTAAATTTCTCAGAAATTTACGAATATAATCCGCCGAAAATTTTAAAAATCCAAAGGTCAGAGCACCAAAATGCTGACCAAATCATTAAAACTTGAGAAAATTGTCTGAAATTCAAGGAAATTCAGCGACTAAAAGCATTATCATTACCCCTTTGAATGCACGTGATTTTGAACGATCTGAGCAACCAAAGAGTTCATTTTTGGCGATGCGAATACCCGCTTTTATTCCAAATCACACTACCCTTTGCAAAAAAGGATCACGTTAGTACCATATTGAGATTATGTTGTTATCAATTTGATCGTTCACACCCATATTGGTCAGTGAAACAAGGTATCAACTTGGTCTCAACATTGTTCCATATTGGGATCATGGGCAGTTTGGATTTGGTATCATAATGATACCACCCACGGTGATAAAATGTTGATACTAGTGGCGATTTTGCAAGTAGATGACACTGTTTTTTCTCCAATTAAATCCATAAAAAATATCGACTTAAATAAGGCAGCAACCTTATCAAGAATCAATTGTTTTTCATACATCTAAGTGGAGAAAAAACATTGTTGCCAACTTACGAGAATCCGCACTCGCTATACCATGTTTGCGTCAATATATTACCTGCGTTTTACTCGCCAACACGATCCATCTTAGGGAGGTATCTTCATCCCCTGGGAGGAGGATTCGGTAGCAATCGACCAAGTGATAATGTTCAGATTTTAAAATATTTTTTTCCAAAAATCCGCAAGTTTTACGTAACGTATAGTTTATTACGTGTTTTTACAGAAATTGTGACTGAGAAAAATCTTGAAGTGACTTTAAATCTAAGTCTCGAGTGAAAATCGCAAATCCAAAAAAAAAAAAAAAAAAAAAAAAAAAAAAAAAAAAAAAAAAAAAACTGCAGCATTTCAAGTTGTAAAAAGTAATGTTTTTCTTCTAAAAATAGACAGAGTATTGAAACGTGCCTTAGGTACACAACCTATCGGTTATCATTGAAGCTGTTACAAAGATGCAGCATTGCAGCATCAATAACAACGTGCTAGGCTCATTTCGGGTCAAGTGTTTACCAATTCATAGGTACCTCCACGAAACAAGCACTTGATTTTCTAACGCACGATAGTTCAACAAGGGGACTCAGCTAATGTAAAAAAACAAAAGCCGATACCGCTGCTTCAATGCTTAATCCAAGATGCATTAAAGCAAACATGTGATAAAATTCTGCAGTTTTCTAGGCTATTATCAAACGCTCATACAAGGAGGAATTACTCAAGTTATTTTGAACCCAAAGCGTACCCGCACAAAGCACTTCTGATTACAGAATTTTAGAGCTTCTCGAAACTTTGAGACCAAGTTTGAGACCGAATCGATTTGAGACCAAGAATATCATTCGAGCTCGCAAGCAACCGAGTATTTTTTTATATTGGTACCCTGAATGGCGTTTTTTCACTCTGATCCATTTAACCTCATCCGATAGGAAGGTCTATGAAGAATACTGGTGCTTTAATTTCTATTGTAATAAAACTTTTGACATGAGAACGGGTTATCAGAGATGGTGAAAATAACATGATATCAAATAAATTGATCTTGACGTGCGGAGAAATCGTACATTTGATGTAGGTACATTATCGCATTGATAAAATTAAATACATGGATATAACGCGGGAGAGATTCCATTCTGTACGGTTGCGTCATTTTGGAACATTGCCATTCAGCTCAACCTTTGAAGAAATTGACCGATGCAAGATACCATCGTTTTTCATAATTTTCAAAGTAATTCGAAATTTTATATGAATATGTGTAAATTTACTAAAAGAGAATGATTAAAATATTTACGGCCCATCTTCGATGAATGCATGAAAAAATAAGTACATTGTAAATAAGTTCGGTCGAAAGAGATTCTTAAAAGAATTCTACTGATAGCAGTCCGAATTCAAAAGTGAAGATTTCGATGCTCCCAAACGGTCATCGTTATATATTTGCTTCGATGAATCATTCCCATTTTAATGGAAAACTTTCGGTGAACACATTCCATTCCCCTCAGTCCTCCACCGCGATTCTACAAATAGCGGGAGAATGTTCAGCTCTGCAGAACGTGCAAAAAGGAGCGTAGATCAACGGGACATGCAGAAAATCGTGACAATTTAGAAGTGCGTATTACGTACTGGACTCAGTTCAATTTAACACGTGGTTCGGGATACTTTCGAACTGAGCAAGATAAAAGAATTAACTGGTGGGCTGATAAAATAGTAAATCCATCCACCCACAACTTTCCACCCACAAAAATAAGAGCGCAAACAAGATATGCGAGGGCTCTCGACGAAACCGGTAAACCGAAACCACTCGAAAAACCCCTCAAACGCGTCATTCATATTTCCTGATTAGTGTGACACTTTAAAGTGGCGTACGACTCAACGTGCTGAGATTTATAATAAGTAAGCTGCGTGGAGTTGACAATGGATATTATCGATATCGACTTTTCTGGAGCTTCTGCCACAATCCATCATGTGCTCGCGGAGCCAAAAAAAAGTTAATTTTGCCACATGAAAGCTTGGAGTGGGAGAATCATCACAGCAAGGTTTATTCAATGCGTGATGTTCTAGGACAGAGTTTGCACGGGGATAGTTACTTAATAGAGGCATCTATACAGGGTGATCCAGGGTTAAACGCCTAGACTGCAGGAGCCGAACACCCCCAAACCCCCTCTTTAAATTGAAATTTCGATTTTTTTAGATTATTTTTGAATTCAGGGAATAAAATTACGGGAGAGTACAAATTTTCATGAGATTTGGTTCACAGCCGTTGCCAAAATTCGGGAAAAACGATTTACTCTCCAAAATTTGGGGGGGCGTAGCTCTGGGGGCACTTTTGGAAAAAAACTATACAACAAAAAAGTCTTAATTTGACCCATGGAACACGCCCCTGCAGTCTGGCCGTTTAATTCTGGATCACCGTGTATACCATGAAGGATGTCTTCAAAATTGAGGTTTTTTTTGAAAAAAGGCGTATGCGCAGAACGCGTTTCCTAAAGCTCGACTCTTCCTAGTTTCAGGAAATATAAAGCGTGTACTTAAAATCCCGCTCCCCCCCTCGTGGCCCATCCCTCAGGGAGGGCGGGGGCCCCAATTTTTTTTTCAAACTGTAACTTATTTGACGTGTTGCCTTATGGTTCAGATACACAAGAAATTTGGTGGACGTTGGGAACGGAAAATACAATTTGATGTTGCTGTGTTGGGGAGAGGGACACGGCTCGGCGATCCACGATCACGCAAACGCTCACTGTTTCATGAAGATGCTCCACGGTGAACTATGCGAGACGCGCTTCGAGTGGCCTGAAAAAGAGATCGACCCCGACAACATCTCAGAGGGAGAGGAAGCAGCCCTCAAAGAGAAAGGCCGAACCATACTTCGACAAAACCAAGTCTGCTACATCAATGGTAAATACCCAAACCATCCAATTCGTCACTATAAAGTATCCACTAGAAAGCAATGGATCGTGTTCGATATATCGAACAGGTGAGATTGTATCAATATCGATTGGTTTAACATGTAAACATGGCCTCAAAAGTCAATTGAGTAATCTGAGAGCACGGGTTTTTTGTGGTAGATTTTTAATTCTTATGGCTACAAAATGACAATGAAAGGTAAAATTGTTTTTAGCTTCTCCAGCTTAAACCCTAAAATTTTCGCTCAAGGTTAAGTTCTATTGTTTTGAACCAAACGATTTACAATTTGGCTGGGCGTCCCCTACTACGCAAGAAAACAATGCCCTGCTGAAAATAACGAGTTGGAAATGGTAAATAATTCTGCTGATATCAGATGGATCTCTACTGATAGCCGGGAAATCTTTAGAAATATTTCCTGATGCTCGTAAAAAGTCTAGGGATATCAGAAGAACCTCTTGGCTCGTTTTCAATAAATATGAGTCGAGACCCTGCTGATATCGGGACAGAGGTTGAACCTGCCTGATATCCTAGAGACTAATCACCGCATTACAAAACTTAACGAGAGAAAATTGATAAAAATGCCTGAGCAGCTCTTTTGAAAAATCAAAAAAAAAATCGAATGCTCGACAATACCTCTTGCCAAATCCGTTTGCATTACTTGGCTAATAAGATAGGGATCTCTAAAATATTTGCTCACAGTCGCAAGAATAAGAAATTTTGAAGGAATTCAAAATCTTTCCTCAGTGTTTTCGTAGTAAAGAAAAACGCTGCATTTTCATTCAAATGTTGCCAAATTTCCTCACAGAAAATATTCATATCGCGAACAAAATTCTCCGTAAAATTGGAAGATAAATAAATGCATTTACAAGTATGTCCTAAAAATCGTGATTTGTCAAAAGACAATCGGCAACGTCTGAATGGTCATCCGGCGTTCTTCCTCGGCACGGCAGGGTTCTGGTTGACACTTTTTTCGTATTCTCTGCAAATCGGCACCACTGGTAATCAGCTTCCAAAGCGCCTGGCGCCTGGCGCATGGAGTGCAGGGGCCTTTGCAGCGCACGGCGGCGGGTGCGGAGCGGGGTGCCCATTGAAAAATTCGAGCGGCCTTACGAGCCACGATACTCGACGTAGTACTACAGTCACCATGCGAACCGTTGTGAATGACTCCGTTTGAATTACAGATTCACTGGGACTCCACCGCGTCGAGAACGTGAGCAACAGCGAGCGGGCTGTGAGTCTCCACCTCTACTGCCCACCGTTCGACTCCTGCTCAGTATTCAACCAGCGGACTGGCCACAGGTCCACGAGTAAAGTCACATTCTGGTCGATCTACGGAGAGCGCCGCAATAAGGTAGGCTCTTCCACCTCCGAATCCGGAACCGCTTAAGTTCGACGAGAAATGATCCGAAGATACGCGCTTTCGCTTGCACTTGAAGCAGGGTTACAATTGGACGTATTTCTGCCAAACGGAACTATGTGCATTTAGACATGAGTTCTGAGACCCATAAGAACATATGCATAACAGGGCTCACGTCATTATACACATAGTTCCGTTTGGCAGAAATAAGTCCAATTCTGCCTTGGCCGGAGTCGCGTGGGATTTGACTTGATCGCTAATTAATGTCTGGTGGACGATGTCTGCGTCTGTCGCGCCCCTAATTGTTAGACGTTCCCCGAATTTCGGATGGCTCAGATCCGCGTTTGCGTTACGTCATATTTTATCTAATAAAGAGAGACTGACCAGGAGAGATGTTGGATTTTCGGATGTTGTCAGGTTGACATCGTTAAGAAATTAGAGAGGATGCGCGAGTAGTTATTCTGAACTTGCGGTCACTTTTATGATTCATAAAAAATTCGAACCCGCCAGTAAATCCTCTCTCCTCTCTGTTCTAATAGAATCATTTTTAAGTTGCTTGATGGGTGGAGTGAAGAAGGGGGAGGAGGATTAAGTAGCGGCCTTTGGGGGCTCGCTGCAGCGTCCCGGGGGTTGAGCCGCGTGGCGGCCAGGGGGCGCGGCGTAGCTTCCTAGTTTATAAAGAAAATCATTATAGAGATGAAAAAAACAGGAAAGGTATTAGTGTTTAAATGAGTAGAAACTGTTCATATACAGATAACATAAAATACAACGATTTTTTTTAATAAATGAGATTGGAGACTACAATATTCAGCAATATAAATGTACAGGACAACAATATTCAGGTCATTCGGCAGATGGCACGCTTCTCAATTTTTCGCTTCTCTATCGTAAGAGCTTGTCTCTATTTTCACATAAATCATGGAAAGCAAAGCATTATGCGGAAAAGAGGGTTCGCGTGAGAATTGAGATACGTCCTCACGTCAGAGGAGAAATGAATTCTCTTGGCAGATGGTACTCGATGCGGGAGAATAGACCTCAATATCAACCCGTGAAGGTCTGTAATCAAACAAGTTTAGTAGGTAAAATTTTCTTTCCTTTTTTCAAGTTGAAAATAGCTCATCCTTAAAGTCGTAATAATCCATTTCTCTCTTTTTTCCAGAAATTGATGGAAGACGTAGAGCCAGAGGACAATTGATGCATCGCGAAACCCGGTTGTGATAATTCCTAGTTCCAGTTCAGGGACAATATGCCGTCCATTTCCTGAATACCTACCATTACCTACTACACTACCTACTCAGTTTCATACTCCCTATCCTCAGAACGAGGATATATTGCTGGATATCTTTATTTTTCTTGACACTTAGAATCAAGGTGGGAGGTGTATTTACGTATAGAGAAAGAGAGAAAGGTGGGGGGGGACGGAGGGTGGAAAATATGTATTGTTACTCTCGTGGAGGGTAGGTTTACCAATTAAGTGTTATTTATGATTGTAATTTTACTGTGCGCCTATTTAATTGTTTCAATTTTAGCTCGGTGTAGATATTTTGGGGCCAATTTTTACTGGTGTCCAAATAAGCAAAAAAATATTACTCCACCGTACCACTTCCTTGACTATATATTCATTTTTGTTGAATAAAATTACGTTTTCGTTTATAATAATTTTAAATATTTTTCTTTGAAAAACCACTTGCTAAACTAGAAATTTTCTTGAATTCGGAGGGAAAACCTATATATTGCATGATGTGTATTATTCCGTCAATACTATTATAATCACCAAAACACGAAAGAGGAAAAGTATAGAATCAGTGCTTTTGATCATCTGGTACCTCGTCAGTGCCTAGCCACAAGAAGAGGGTTTTTAATGCGCAATACAAGGCTCCGTCGGTAGAAACGCCTTCAATTTTTGACATGCCACCCGCATATCTGTGGGCCGCGAGCAGTGGTATGAAAGCTTTCTTATGAAAAACAAAGAAATTACTTGTAAAGATGAGACTAATTTACGTGATAGTTGTATGAAGGCGTCATTGTCAAGGCGTAAACGCCTTCAATTTTTGACAAGCCACACGCACAACCGTAGACCACGAGAAGTGGTATCAAGGCGTCGTTATGAGAAACGAAGGGAGTAGAGATATATGTTTAATGAACAGTTAACAAGACAGTAGTGTCGAGTGTTGCAGTTAGACAAGGTAAAATTTTAAGCATTCTGATGCATGTTTTTCAATCAAACTGTCATACACTTACGCACACACATGTTCCTAGATCACTATTCGCGCAACTTAAATTACTGAAATCAACCCCTGACTAAGATAGTAAAGTTTTTATTTTACACTGGTCAGTGAAAATTTGAATTACTCGCTCAGAAGAAAACAATGGTTGAAACCACGTTGAAAACAATCAAATCGTGCACTACGGCAGTTTTGGCAGGTTTCTGAATCAAGAACCCCCCCCCCCCCCCCNCGGACCACTTTGTTGTTTAAAGTGTTAACAACGTGCAACAGCTGAGCCGACACACCATGATCCGACACCGAGGTTGCCATCTTCTCATACCGCACAGACCGTCTCAGTACCGTTTAGTGCGCGCTTTGTCTCAATCTCAATCTGCAAACTGACGATTTTGTCAAACGAGGAGAAAACTTCACAATTTCTGTAGTTTTAAGGTCAGATTTGCAATTTTTTCATACATTACAGTGTCAATGAAACGTTTCCCTACAGAATTAGGGAAAAACTAAAAATATCAGCTTGCGTATTTTACGAGTACACTGTAGAAAGCACCAAAGTTGCTAGCTCATTTTTGCCAAAATTGTTAGTTAGGTGGTATTGTTCATTAGCCTTCGATATGTAGGGATCCATAGATGCAAATTTATATTTTTACAAAATTTACAAAAAAAACCACAACAAAGTTTTACTTTTTTTACAAAATTTAATGGAGGATCCTATCGGTGGAAGCGGGTGTTTGCAAAGGAGGTAGGTAATTGACTAACTAACAGCAACCCACGAGACACCCTAGAGTTAGTCCATCATTTTCTCCCTTAATTCGTAGGAACCACCCTATTCAACCAATAGGATTGCTTCATACTCCCTTTGTCTTTTTTGCCTATCGATTTCAATAATTAGCCCGCTGGAAACCTAATGTTGTCGGTAACGAGAAAAACTTGAGAAATTCCGTTCTTTGCGAGGAAATAAGTGCCTTTGACCCTACTTTTTGCACCCCACAACGTGATGAATAATGTAGCTCTGGTAAAATCAGCCTGACGTCAGGTTAAGTTTCATAAACTACCCAGAGTGAGACTGATGCCAGACTGACGTCAGCCTGAATCAGTGAGACTCAGGGTAGTTTATGAAACATAGCCTGACGTCAGGCTGACTCACTTTTACTAGGGAGAGGGAAGTTTATCGATGTTTGCGCCGATGTCACGCGTACTTTACTGTCGGAAGCCCAGAATGTTTTTCGCATGATGCATAATTAATTTAGTTTACCTCGGCTATAGCTGTCTGCAGAAGAGGGGAAAGGAAATAATTCATAAAAATCAATAAATATTACGATGTAAAGGCTCTAGATCACAGGGAATATACCAAGTGTTGAATAATGTATTTACAAAAATAACAAATAACAAATACAAATACACACACAAATATCAAATACAACAATAACAAATAACAAGAACTGGTCGACTAGAGTAGCAAAATAACGTCAGACTCTTACTAGATTTGTGTTCCTACAGAGCATTGGTTTCAGGCGGAAGAAATCCCATTTTTCTAAAGGACAGACACGTAAGTTATAATTACATGTATACTGTAATATACTATGTAATAACGTATAAAATAATATGCTGCAGTGAAAAGTGGAATTCCGATTTAAGGGAGACAAACACATTCCGTGTTACTACCTCTAAGAAGTAGGACCTTGTCTACCTATTTATGAAGTTTACCTTTTCCTCCAAAATTTCTTATTCGCCAATTTAAATTCAGAGGTCAATTGATTATTCGATGCATGAACTAGACACGTAAAATGCGCCAAAACAGAAAAAAATACTATCGTATATTTTAGGCTGATGATGTCATGTTGTGCATATTTTGACACAGCAGCAAAAAAACGAGAATTAATCACATAATTCGTAATTAGACTGATTTAATGGCCACGTCGTTCGATATAATATCGAGCCCTCGGTTCAAACCTAAACAATCACAGAACCTTGTATCTGATTCGCGGCCTTTGCGCTATTGTGGTAAAATGTCCCTAGTAAAAATTGGCCGTAGAATCTGTGTTCCAAAATACCATAGACCTACAGCCGGCTGTAAGATTTCCAATAGCTTCTATAGCCGGCAACGCAATTTCTTATAGCCTTTTATAGCCGATAGCGATTAAGCAACAGCCTGGCGATTTAGTGTATGCTAAACGTTACTAATTACGGATGCTAGGACTTAGTGAGTTTTTGGACTACCGCTCTCTTTTTGGGCCGTTGTATCTTGATTTATTTTGAGAGGAAAGCTCCGTACTTTTGAAGGATGCCTGCCATTCCTAATATGTTGGAGCGCCTTCAATTTCGTATGATACTGTGCAATACTTCTGGGGTGAAATAGTTGCTTCAAGCGCCGTGGTACGCTGCGGCGCGGCGAAACGCCAGCGCGAAACGCGCATTGGCGCCTACAAACCTAACAGGGATACTTCACGCATTGCGCAATGCGTGAAGTATCCCTGTTAGGTTTGTAGGCGCCAGTGCGCCGCAGCGCTCCGCTTTGTGTTAGGCTCTAATATTTAATCTCGTGGAGTAAGCGTTTTGTAACTCATGACTTTGAAATGTTTGCACACTCTGTATGGATTATCCTCATTTAAATTGATGAAAAAAAATATGTAATAAAGGAAAATGTTATGTGCGTTTTGTAAATATTAAGGTGATTCCGTACAAACTTAAGGATTTACAAAGCACACGAATTTCTGCAAAACTTCTTGTAGCCGATGGCGAAAAAGCAGCAATCAGACGATGAAGTGTAAGGCCCGACGATAGGAACTATAGCCCGGCTGTATAATTTTTTATCGCTTCGTGTAGCCCGGCCTTATGATTTTTTCCACTCTCTACAGCCAGCTATATGATTTTCTATCGCCTTCTTCAGTCGGCTATAAGAACTCCTATGGTATTTTGAAACGCAGCTCCTATCGCCAATTTTTACCAGGGGCGTCCAAGTGTTTCTTAAAATCAAATTTTTCGTGTTCAATGAGTCTTTAATTGATTTATGACTAAATTTTAATAAATTAACACAATTATCTCATGAAGAATTTGTACATGAGGTTATGTTAGTTTGTTTTGGTTTGAACCATGAGCTCGATATTATGTTGAATGATGTGGTCACTAAGTCAGCCTGTAATAACTCTCGATCAGTTTTTCAATAGCCTTACCATGATATTTTCCTATCTTTTTCAAGGCAGACCCTTTGGCTACTTCATACGTGGAAAAATTTCCATTTTCTGAACAATAGTTTGGACCATTTACATCAGATGTAACTTACCGTCCGAAACAAGATGAAAATACTTATCAGTAAGCTGAACATTCTCCAATACGTTATGATTGTTTTGAGTGGCGCGGAAGCTGAGATTTTCGATCTGCCTCAAGACAAAAAAACAGAGCGAATGCTTTCGCCTGCCTTAAGCATTAGCAAGATGACGGGTGAGTTTTCAAAGGAGAAATTGTTGTACGTTATTAGTCTGAACACCGATTTCCCGATTCAATCTTTCATTCGAAGTCTACACGAGACCAGCATCAATACAGTCCTCATCTCTCACCAAAGCTGGCTGGAGAATACGATCACTGAGTATCGAATGAAAAATATTTTCATTCATCTCAACGATATGAACGAAATTCTCAGTTTAATTTTGGACTCCATTCCATATTCACTCTCTCACTATGATAAGGACCCCTGGTTGCCAGTTGAAAATGCCACAGCTTTGAGAAAGCTCAGTAGCTATTGTGTTAAACAGGATGAAAAAATTATCGACGCGATGAACACGAAAAAGTTTACATCTTGCGATTTTGAATTGCTCATCAGTAACGCAGAGCTGAACGGAGATATCAAACTGACGGACTCGGTTTTTGAGTCAATCAAAGGTTTCGCGATGTTAAATACCATCTGGAATTCCATTAATTACGTTATTTTTATGCTACCTAACCTTGATGGAAATGATGAACAGTTAATGTTCCTCTTCCGATTTTTCTGGCGTTTCTTCCGCGGCCTGCACACAGTCATTTGCGCGGAGTACAATTGCTTTAAATATGATCCCTTCAAGAGTGTTATCCTGCATACGGATACGAGGAGTGGTCACTATTTTCCCCTCGTCTCTATGCAAGGAGGCAAATTCAAAACCGGTTTTGTTGAAAAAAATGAATTGTACCGTCATAGTATCAGCGTAGGAATGGCACCCTTCTCAACCGTGATTGGAGTTATTGATTATCTGCGAGAAAAATTAAACGTTGAAATAGATTATGATGTATTTGATATGTGGGGTAGATTCGATCCAGATGAGAAATATTACGAGATCGCTTTAAGGTCGAATATGGACGCGGTCATCTTCCGAGACAGCATCTGCCCGGATGAGACGGTCTTCACACAGTTCGACTTTTCCGCAGCAATCCAAACATGTTCCCAATGTTTTTCCGTCCCTCGTA